CCTCGCACGCTCTTGCTCTCTCTAAAAAATAATAATTAAAAAAAAAATAAAAATAAAAACTAATATGAACAAATAAGTAAACTCATAAGTAAATGCAGAGAACAGACTAGTGATTGCCTGAGGGGAAGCAGTGGGAGGTGAGCAAAATAGGTGAGAGGGGTTAAGAGGTACAGAGTTCCAGTGATAAAATAAATAAGTCACAGGGATGAAAAGTGTGGCACAGGGAATATAGTAATTAATGTTGTAATAACACTGTATGGTGACAGATGGCAACTACATTTATCTTGTTGAGCATTGAGTAATGTATAGAATTGTCAAATCACTATGTTGTAAACCTGAAACTGCTTCAGTATATCAACTATATGTCAACTATACTTCAGTAATAAAAAATTTTTAAATAAAAGCATAATCAGATATGTAAAAAAGCAGGATAATATGACCAATAATCTGGGGGAAACAAATCATCAATAGAAACAAATCCAGAAATGACAGTGATGATAGAATTACTGTAAAAGGACCTTAAAGCTGCTATTATAAATGATATAAATATATTGAAAGACATAAAGGGAGACATGAACATGAGTAGAGAAACAAAATACATAAGGGACCCAAGTGAATCATATAGGGATGAAAAATACCTCAAAAAAAATTACACTAGGTGGGATAATAGCAAATGAGACACTGCAGAAGAAGCTGAAGTTAGGCATAACAGTAGAAAACCAACACTAAGCACAGAGAGAAGAAAGACTTAAACTTTTATAAATTGAAGAGTGACTTGTTGAAGTATATGAAATACCAGGCAGTCTACCAAACATATAATTGTTGGGAGTTCCAGAAAGAGAAACAGTGGGAAGGCAGATATAAAAAATACCTAAACAAATAGAGCCATAAATTTTCCAAATTTGATGAAAAAGCTATAAAACCACAAATCCAACAATCTCAAACAGAAGAAGCATTAAGAAAACCACCCAAAGCACATCATAACTCACCTAACTTAAAAGCAGTGATAAAGAGAAAATCTGAAAATCACAGGAAGGAAAAAAAAATACAACATATTATATACAAAGTAACAAAGATAAGAATGACAGCCAACTTGTCAGAAACCCTGTTTACCCGAAGACAATGGAACATCTGCAAGTCCTAAAAACAAACCTTTTAACCTGAAATTCATACCTACTGAAAATATCTTTCAAAAATGAGAGTGAAATAGTTTTTCAGACCAAGAAAAGCTGATAGAGATCATCCCCAGCAGATTCACACTCAAAGGTAGTTTTATTCAGGGAAAACAATTGATATAGTAAGGGAATTCGGATTTACACAAAGGAATGAAAAACTTCCTATGTGATAAATATGTGAGTACATATAAAAGACTTTCTTAATCTTTTTAAAAGATAGCTGTTTAAAGGAAAAGTAGCAATGTAATGTGGGGTTGATTATATATGTAAAATTAAAATACATAGTAACAGCACAAAAGAAAGGGAAATGGAGGAATAGTTTCATAAGGGTCTCACACTGTGTGTGAAGAGTGGTATGATATTTGAAGATAGACTGTGCTAAGTTAGAGATACTACAAACCCTAGAGCAAACAATAACTAAGAGGTATATATAGCTAAATAAGCCAGAAGTAGAGACAAAATCAAATCATAAAAGCAGTTAATTCAAAAGACGGAGGAAAATGTAGCAAAAAATGGGACAAATAAACAGATACACAGTGTATCTTGTATTCAGTTTTCTTGGGGTGGGTAGCATAATTACAAAAAAAAAAAAAATGTCTAAAAAGGTCTTTGAGGGAGTGATAAAGAAATAAAGGTTGAAAAACACTGAACCTAGATAGATATAGGTAGGAACATCTTACATAATGCAAAAGACTGAATTTTTCTCCCTGAGATCAGGAGCAAAGCAAGGTGTCTACTTTTCATAACTTCTATTCAGCACTGAGCTGAAGTTACTAGTCCACATGAAGAAATAAAAGCATACCCCTCCTCCCCCAAAAAGGCATATAGACTGGAACAAAGTAAAATGTTTTTTTATTTCCTGGTGACATGATCATCTATATAGAAAATACCAAGTAGAGTGCCTGGCTGGCCCAGTCAGAAGAGGGTGTTACTCTTGATCTCGGGGTCATGGGTTCATGCCCCATGTTGGGTGTAGAGATTTGTTCTTTTTTTAACTTTGTAGTCTTTTTTTTTTTTTTTTTAATATTTTATTTTTAGGTAATCTCTACACCCGCTGTGGGGCTTACACTCACAACCCAAGTCAACTTCAAGAGTCATGTGTTCTACCGACTGAGCCAGCCAGGCACCCCAGATGTAGAGATTATTTGGCTGGGGGAAACTTCAAAAAAAAAACAAAAACCCCAAGAAATCTACAAAAAAGCTATAAGAACTAAAATATGAGTTTAGCAAGATTGCAGGACAAACTCAACACAACAAAAATCAATTCTATTTCTGTATGGTGTCAATGAGTAATTTGAATTTTTAAATCAGTATTATTTATGGTAGCATCAAAAAAACATGAATTGGGTAGGGATAAATTTAGTCAAAATGCAAAAAACACATACACTGAGAACTGCAACATATTGCTGAGAAAAATGAAAAAAGACTAAATAAATGCAGAGATGTGCCATATTCATGGAAAGAAGATTGTGTATTAAGATGATACTTCTTCCAAATTAATCTATTACATGTAATTCAAATCAAAATCCCAGTAGACCTTTTTGTAGAAATTGACAAGCTGGTTCTAAAATTTATATGAAATTCAAAGGACTAGAATAATCAAAACAATTTTGAAAAGGCAGTTGGAGGATTTGAACTACTTCATTTTAAGAGTTATTATAAAGCTATAGGAATCAAGGCACTGTGGTAATACAATAGAACAGAGATAATACACACATATATAATCAATTGATTAGTTGACAAAGGTGCCACAGTAATTCAGTGGGGAAAAGATAGTTCTTTCAACAAATGGTACTGGAATAATTGTGTATTCATACTCAAACTTAATTTTTACTCACTCCATATATTAAAAGTTAACTCTTAAGTAAATCATAGGCCTAAACATAAAAGCTTAAAACTATAAAAACCTCTAAAAGGAAAAAATAGAAGATCTTTGTGTCCTTGGGTTGGATAAGTATTTTTTAGATAGGACACAAAAAGCAAAAGAAAAAATACTATCAAATTTGAAAGTTTTTGCTCTTCAGAAACAGTCAAAAGGCAAGCCTTCCATATTTGTTAAAGGACTTGAATCCACCGTAAAGACCTCTTATAACTCAATAAGAAGACAACCCAATTTTTAAGTGAGCAAAAGATTTGAACAGATACTTTATCAAAGAAGATAGATCAATGGAAAATTAAAACCATAATGAAAAATCCCTAATATCCACTTGGAAGGCTAGAATTTTAGAAACTGACAGTACCAAGTGTTGCCAAGGATGTGGAGGAACTAGAACTCTTAAAATTGCTGGTAGGAATGCAAATTGGTACCATCACTTTGGAAAACCTGGTATGGCCATTTCTTACAAATTTAAACATAAACGTACCATGTGACCCAGCATCCCCCTTCTAGGTATTTATGAGAGAAATGAAAGCGTGTCCACATAAAAGATTGTCCTTAGATGTTTATAGCAACTTTATTCATAATAGCCCAAAATTGGAAACAATCCAACTGTTCACCAGCTGTTGAATGAGGGGTTTTTGTTGTTTTTTTAAAGTATATCCATACCATGGAAAAGTACTCAGCCATAAAAAGGAATGAATTACTGATACATGAACAATATGTATAAATCTCAAATCATGCTATCTGAAAGAAACCCAACACAAATGACTATATACTGTATGCTTCCAGTTATATGAAATTCTAGAAAAAGCAAAACATTAGTATTAGAAAGTTGATCAGTGGTGGCCAGAGGTTAAGAAAAGGCTTTTGACCATAAGCAAAGGACTTGAGGGAACATCAGGAAGAGAGATGGAAATGTTCTATATCATGATGGTGGTAGTGTTTATACAATTGTATACATTTGTCAAAATTCACTGAAGTGCACACTTTAAATTGTTAAATTTTTTGTATGTATATACAAGAGATAACAATAAAACAATGAACCAGATTTTTTAAAAGTTAGATGTTATCCTCTCTGGCCCATGAGAAAATTGACCTTTAGGATCTGAAACTCTTACTCACTAAGGAGGATACATCTTGTGACCCTCGCAAAATAAATGAAGTCATTTCATTTCTGTTTCAGAGACAGAAGAGATGGGTGATGAAGAGGTTTTCTCCTGGTTGAAGTGTGCAAAGGGACAGTCCCATGAACCAGAGAATCTCATGCCCACACAGATCATCCCTGGCACAGGTTAAGGGAGTTCTTTTTTAAATTTGGTGAAAGAGGGGCTCCTGGCTGGCTCAGTTGGAGGAATGGTGGCTCTTGATTTCGGGGTTGTGAGTTTGAGCCCTACATTGGGTGTAGAGATTACTTAAATAAACATTTTTTAAAATATTAAAAATAAAAAATTTTGGTGGGGAAAAAAGTGTTTTTAATTTAATTGAGTTATAATTCACACACCATAAAATCTGGTGAAATGGTTTATCTTGGCCTGATTTTTGTTACGCCTCCCCAGATTTTTCTGACAGTTTGAATCGTTAGATATCGGTTAGATTTTATGCAGCCAGTGCACACACTTTGCCTCATCTTTCTGGTTAGAGAAGTTGGTTGCTTTTCTACATAACATTTTACATTCCTGTGGTTGGCAGGATCAGAATAGAGAAAGTCCCACATGTTTCCAGAAAGACTTTTGATTTTAGGTTTGTAAAAATCCAGCTGAAGCTACTCAGACCTCTTGAATCCATGAAGAAGGCAGCTTAACAGTAGGAATGAATGGTCGTGTTTATGTCACAGTCCCAGCTTACTTCACTGATTCCTCCATAAGTCTGTTTCCAGCTTCCACACTTCCGATAACACATACACATTGAAGATGGTCAATCTACTATCTGTATTCTCCTCTGCTGTGGCAGGAGCACTCTTTGGATCCTTATACCCCAGGGCTTCCAAGCAGAAGGGTTCCCTTAGTGCACTGATAGGATGCCTGCTCCCTACTGATCTAAGCATTGATTGTAAATGTTCACATTAAGTTTACATTGGTCTGGTTTTTTCCCCACGTTTAAGTTAGGTATAACTTAAAGCATATAAATCTCAAGTATACAATTCAAAATGTTTGCATGCTCTCGAACATTGAGGAATCTAACCCTAGAGTTTCTCCTGCAGGTCACCTTGTTAATGTTTACTAGAAGAGGGAGTGTAGCTTAGTAGTTAAGAGTGCACAGAACTTCAGAGCTAGGTATACCTCAGTTAAACTATTAGTACTCCCATTTACCAACTATGTGTGCTTGAGCAAATGACGTAAACTTCTCTGAGTATCAGTTTCATCATCAAAAATTGAGAGTATGGGGCGCCTGGCTGGCTCAGTCGGTGCAGTGTGCGACTCTTGATCTTGGGGTTGTGAGTTTGAGCCCTATATTAGGTGTAGTGATTACTTAAAAAATACAATCTTTAGGGGTGCCTGGCTGGTTTAGTCAGTAAAACATGTGACTCTTAATTTCAGGGTCTTGAGGTCTGGGTGTGGGGCCTACTTAAAAAATAAATTTAGGAGCGCCCAGGTGGCTCAGTCGGTTAAGTGTCTACCTTCGGCTCAGCTCATGATGCCAGGGTCCTGGGATCAAGCCTCTGCTCAGCAGGGAGCCTGCTTCTCCCACTCCCCCTGCTTGTGCGCTCTCTCTCTCTCTGTCAAATAAATAAAATCTTAAAAAAAAAAAAAATTTTTTTTAATTAAAAAAAAATATTTTTCAAAAAAAATTTGAGGGTAAAAGCTACTACCTCATTGAAATGTGGTAAGGGTTGAGGAAGATAATGTAAATGAGATCCTTAGCACAATACATGAAACTTTCTGAGGCTTTTGTTGTTGCTGTCTTTCTTCCAGCTCTTTACAATATTGGAGACATGGTACATGCTGCCCGGGGCAAGTGGGGAATAAAAGCAAACTGCCCTTGTATTAGTCGGCAGAACAAATCTGTATTGAGACCTGCTGTCACCAATGGGATGTCACAGGTAAAGTGGTATGTGTGGGTATAAATGAGAGAAATTTCGCTTCTTAGTACCAGGAAATGCCCCATTTTCACCTGTGTTGTCCTAGGTTACTGTAGGATACCTGAGGAATTAGGGGATGGAGAAGTGTTTCTAGAGGGAGCCCCAAAAAAGCTACTCAAGGGATTTGAATTCCCTCTGCCTGGTATGAGTTTCTCTTCATCTTTAAAACCAGTTCAGGTTGGGTTGATAAATAGCACAAAGAAATTCTCTGCATCTTGTCAAGATTTATACTTCAGGGTCCTTGTGCAGGTGAGAAGTATAGAAAATGTTACTAGGAAGGCAGTCCTATCTGTGTGCATGGTCCCTGTCCTTGTCATGTTAGTTACTGAGGACAGAAATATGAAGATTGGCCTGCTGAGCTGGGATCATTCTACCCTGAAAACAATGCCAGGCCTCCAGAGAGGCAGTGGTTTGCTCATTGCTCTGTCAGAGGTGGAGGTCATTCCGGTTTGATGGTAACTGTTTTGAACAAGAGGCTGTTTTAAAAACACACATGCAGGGTGCCTGGGTGGCTCAGTTGGTTAAGCGACTGCCTTTGGCTCAGGTCATGATCCTGGAGTCCCGGGATTGAGTCCCATATCGGGCTCCTTGCTTAGCAGGGGGTCTACTTCTCCCTCTGATCCTCCCCCCTCTCGTGTGCTCTCTCTCTCTCATTCTCTCTCTCAAATAAATAAATAAAATCTTTAAAAAAAATAAAAATAAAAACACACATGCACACGCACACACACACCCCCCTACCTGCTTATATTTGGAGGGCTTTCCAAGAACACAACTAACATATGGTCAGTAGGAGGCACAGGAATTAAGGCTGATGAATCTCAAGATATATTTTCAGTAGACTCGGCATATTAGAGCAAATCATCTGGAAAATTCAGTAATAGAACGATAAACATTTATGGAGAATTTATGTGTGCCGAACACTATACTGAGCTCTTGGCATATACTATCTCATTTAATCCTCAGAACAGCTTTATGAGGTCACGTTCTAATCACCTGTTTGCCATTGCAGAAATTGAGCTTCAGGCACGCTACATAAATATAGTTTAATAACATTTTAAAATATATTGTATTATTTATTGTTATGTGCACTATTCTTTCCACAGAACCAAGCATAGTTTCTGTCACATTGTAGGACTCCTTAAATATATGGTAAATGAATGAATGAATGAATGAATGAAATAGCAGTTTATGGGACAGTTTCATGTTGTTTTCCTAGACTTTTTCAGTGTCAGCAGCCCTTACTATGTGTTTTTTTTTCCTATGCAAGGATAGCACTCTAACCGTCTTGGCCTTCTGTGCTTAGCTTCCTAGCATAAACCCTAGTGCCTCTTCTGGAAGTGAAAGCACCTTCTCAGGCGGAGGAGGACCTGCAGCAGTAACATCAGAGACCGACCATGTTCCGAGAGCCGACAGCACTGACGTCAGATCTGATGAGGCTCTGAAAGCAGAGAGTTCAACTTCAAATAGCAATAGTGAGCTAAAAGCCATCAGGCCCCCTTGCCCTGACACAGCTCCCCCCTCTTCAGCCCTGCACTGGTTGGCAGACTTAGCAACTCAGAAGGCTAAAGAGGAAACAAAAGGTGAGATAAACATAAGCCTCTGCCCTGTCTGTGGGTAGAACACTCAAGTTACTCCGGGATTCTTCAAACTCACACAATACCATCCACATTTATGAAACATGGTGCTTGCTTTCTCTTGCTAATCACATGAAATGAGGGAATCTCTTTCATTTTCTTTCTAGAAGTGGAGCTTTTTTTAAAAGGCACATGCCTGGGCTCTACCCCCAGACCTCTTTAGTCAGAATCAATAGATTTTTAATAAGCTTCCAGGTGGTTCTGCTATGCAGCCAGGGTTGATTTTCAGTAGGCACAAAGAGTCACCTGGGGAATTGTTAAAAATGCAGATTCCTGTGCCCCACCAGAACTATTAAATGACAATCTCTTAAGAGTACGATCAAGAATCTCCATTTCTAGTGATCACTCTAGGTGATTCCAGTACAAGTGTTCTGGAGACCCCATTGCAGAAACACTGTCTTAGCAAACGAGGGAGATGAAAGATGGATGGGAACAAGAGGAAGTTTGAAATCCAGATCGGGGAAAGGAAAGAAGAAGTAGGAGAGCTTCTCCTTGGCCATGATCCTACTATAGTCCTACCTGGTCAGGCTTGACCCAGACAAACCGTATGTAGCTTGCGGGGCAGGGAGGGGAAAGTCTCTCCTCCTTACCACTTGGCTAATATTTAGGAGTCACTTGCCTGCTGGATGTTCCTTATCATGCCTAATGCTATTCCCGGTTATGTCCTTACAGAAGCAGGGTCCCTGAGGTCGGTGCTCAGTAAAGAGTCTCATTCACCCTTTGGGCTGGACTCGTTCAACTCCACTGCAAAGGTCTCTCCGTTGACTCCAAAGCTTTTTAACAGTCTGTTACTGGGTCCCACTGCCTCCAACAACAAAACCGAAGGCTCTAGCCTTCGAGACCTCCTTCACTCCGGGCCCGGAAAGCTTCCTCAGACCCCCTTGGACACAGGCATACCCTTCCCCCCGGTCTTCTCTACATCCTCAGCAGTAAGTTTTTCTACAACTCTAGCCTTTTCCAGTGAAGAGCCATCAGATATGATAAGTGGGTTAGAGTTTATATGGGTAACTTGTATTCTGTACATTGTCTGTCCAGCTGACAAGATCTTTCTTTACATTGAGTTTGGGGAATGTTTGGGATCCTTTTAAATCGTGAGCTTTTTGTGCCGTGTTAAGAAGTCAGTAGAAATTGAGACATTGTAATTTTCAGTCAGCAGAAATCACTATTTTCTTGACAATAATGGGCATTAATTTTTTTTTTTTTTAACCTAGGCGGTATATCCATGCCCCCTTCTCTTGGATATCTAATAGACACCTCAAACCTAACGCGTGTAAGACCACATTCCTGCCTCTTCTGCCCATAAGCCTGCTTCTCCTTTAGTTTCCTCTCTTGGTCATGGGCATCTGCATTTTTCCCATTGCTTGGCCAGAAATCTTGGAGTCGTCTCTCACATGTCATATCTAATCTGCCAGCACATCCTCAGTTTGATCTTTAAAATGGATTCAGAGTCCACCCATTTCTCATCAGCTCCACCACTTCCCATCTGGTCTGAGCCAACATCCTCCCTTTTCCTGCGTGTTTGTAGTAAACTCCTTATAGTTCCCCTTTATTTCTTCCCTTCTGCACTCTGTAGTCTGTTGTCAGCACAGCAGCTAGAGTGAGTCTTTTAAAATATAAGTGATCTCATTGTCATGATTTATGGCAGCTCTGCCTAAAGTCCTTCGAGGGCTTCCTATTTCTCTCATAGTGTAAACAGAGTCCTTTCAGTGGACCGGAAGGCTCCAGCCCTATCCGTGCGTCTTCCCCGCTCTTCCCTGGCTTCAGCTACCACTCTCCTTGTGCATGCTGCTCTGGCCACCCCCACCTTCTTGTTCTCTGAATGGGACGAGGCAGCCTCCCTCCTCAGAGCCTTTGCACTTGTCCTTTTCTTCCACCTGGAACGAACTTTCCCATGTAACCACAGGCTTGCTTCATCATCAGTTTCGTCTCCTCCCTCCTGAAATGTCACATCCTGTAAGCCTTCTTCTTAAATCACCCTTTTTAAAGTCCATCACACTCCCATTCTCCTCCATAACTGTCTTCCTGGCACTTCATGTTTTTTCCGTAGCATTCATCACCATGTTTGATTTCTTTTCTGTCTTACCTCTCCTTAAAGGATTTTTTTACTTTTATTCACTTCTGAATCACTAGTGCCACAGTTTGATACATAGTAGGTGTTTGTTAAGCATTTACTGAATGAAGGAATTCACAAGATACAAAATTTAAATGATAGAGTGAGAAGTCTCCTTCCCATCGTTGTCTCCCAGCTACCTGTTTTCCTTTCTGGAGGTCAGTCATCATTTCAGGGGCTTACGGTGTGTGTGTATATATATATATACACACACACATATAGAGTTTCTTCCCCCTCTTTTTACACACGTGTTCTACACCTTGCTTTTCTGCTTTCAGTTTGTATTATCTTCGAGATCATTTCAAGCAAGTACGTGAACATGCTTATCAAATTCTTTTTTATGATTAATGGCTGAAATTCGATGATCTGTGGGTGGTTGAGCCCTGTACGATGTGGATTATTTGTTTCTCTTTTGGATTCGAGACTTAATAAATTACTTTTGGCTCTGTTTTATTTGTACATGCTCTGTCAGTTCTCCTTTTTCTTTTTTAGTTTTCCCAGGAAGTTACATGATTACATATACTCTGTACAAATAATGATTAGTGATATTTCAGGCATAGGAATAATCATGTTTACAAAAGCACTCTCAGTTCTGACATTACAGATGTCATTTTGATTTCTGAGCCTGAGCTTTCCCATCACCTGAAACATGTGAGAGATTCTCACTTGTGTGAGAAGCAGGGGAAGAATTGGGATTAGGAGACTTCTTTCAGATTATACCTTTCCAGTTGGATACTTTGGTTTACCCCTTTATTGGGCTATACTCCCTGGTTAAAAAAGGCACTGCCTTGATAAGTCTCTTTAGTACTTAATTGAAGTATTGTATCCCTTGGGCATGCTGGTGAGAAAAAAAAATTATAACCTTCAAAGTCAATGATCGTTTCCACTCAGCTACAGTATTCTGTGATCCCTGTGGTCTCCATGCAAATCCTTACTACCAGGCTGGATGCCAAAGATATTTCTTAGGTCTCCAGTCTCTTGAGGCAGAGGGGATCTTTCCGTACCTTTCTTTTATGAACGTGAAGCACAATATGGAGGACAGGAAAATTTAAGATCTTGACTTAATAGGCCCCGCCCTTCAGTTACAAAAGCAGTTTCAGTAACTTTTATGAAACTTAATGAGGTAAATCAGAACTCCTTCTTGTGAAGAGAGCTGGGAGGCAGTTTTGTGAATGCTCTTCTCATGGTGCCTCAGTCAGACTTACCTGATGGAATTGTGTGTGGCAGGGAGTGAAGAACAAGGCCAGCCTACCCAACTTCCTTGACCACATCATTGCCTCAGTGGTAGAAAATAAGAAAACCTCAGATGCTGCAAAGCGGGCCTGTAACTTGACTGATACCCAAAAGGAAGTGAAGGAGATGGTGATGGGGTTAAATGTGCTGGACCCCCATACCTCTCACTCCTGGCTCTGTGATGGCAGACTTCTGTGTCTTCATGACCCCAGCAACAAAAACAATTGGAAGATCTTCCGGGAGTGTTGGAAGCAAGGCCAGGTAAGTAAGAATAAGCAGTTACCTGGGCCGGCTGGCTGCTTATCCACCACAGCTGCCAGGAGAGTTTCATTTCTGTCTGGGAGACTTTTTGCCAGGGAGATTAAAACATAGTAAGTTCATCTTAGACAGCCTTGCTACTTCGATTTTTCTTGGGTTTAAAAAAAATCAGAAGATTCCTAAACATATATCGTGGTTCCTTCTATTTCTATATAATTCTTATATTTCTATATAGTGTGTAGCTCTGTGTTCTTAAAAGGGCAGTTGAAATGTCTGTGAAGTGGTGATCTGCCGTTAATGACACCTTTAGAGGAAAACCCTTAAGTGTGACATGGGGGTAAGGTGAAGGTGGGTGGAAGTGAGTGGTACTGTTCTAGGTAAACATTTCAAGGCCACACAAGTTTGAATGATAGTGTGATAACACTTGCTAATTCTTATGCTTTAGCAGGTGCTTGAGAAAGGGGGAGGTTATGGAATTGTCTGGATAGTTTTTCATTCTAGATGCGAGGAAGTATTCTCAAAGGTGCATTTGTCAGCTTTTTGTTCTCTCAACGCAAAATAGTGGTAGATGCCAGAGCAACAGAAGTGATTTCTGTGGCATGCCTCCCAGGGTGAGAATCAAGAATAATGATGGAGTAGAAGTAGTTTCCATTTCCTGAAACTGCCATGTTCAAATCTTTAGATTGTGAAACTGGGAAAGAACAGTAAATCATCATGAAGAAGAGGAGGTTGTCCCCAGGAAACCTCCTTTCTGTCCCTTAGCCCTGAGCTAAAAGTATTCCTAAATGGTTCTGATCAGGATATTTTTGTTTCCACAGCCAGTGCTGGTTTCAGGGGTACATAAAAAGCTCAAGTCTGAACTCTGGAAGCCAGAAGCCTTTAGCCAGGAATTTGGAGACCAGGATGTGGACTTGGTGAACTGCAGGAACTGTGCTATAATTTCCGATGTGAAAGTTCGGGATTTCTGGGATGGCTTCGAGATCATATGCAGTAAGTAGCTTTGATACTGGCAGACTGAGCATCTATACACCCAGCACTGCCCCTGGACTGAAATGAAATCTTCTTGGCACGTGGGGGGGCGGGTGTTGGAACACATGTTCTGTCTTGGTGCCAACCAGGTAGCTCTCATGGCAGTAACATGGCTCCCAGAATACACATGCTCCCATGGGTTGTGTGGAGCACTTTCACTGAGGAAGGGGGCTGGAATTCCTGTGAGATGGAAAAATATAGCATGTACTAAAGCAGTGGGTGAGGAAAACAAAGTCCCTTATGACAGGTTACAAGTCTGAAAATAAGAAGTTAGTCTCCTAAAACTTCTGGTCACTGGAAAATCAGGCAGGAGCCAAACTAGCAGATTATGGGAGTGCTTTCTATCTTCCAGAGCGATTAAGATCAGAAGATGGGCAGCCAATGGTGCTTAAACTCAAGGACTGGCCTCCTGGGGAAGATTTTCGGGACATGATGCCAACAAGGTTAGTGAACTACAGTGGGTCATCTTGAGACACTTATGCCTTGCTGGAGCATCTCAAAGTAATTATAGAAAAGGGGACTTTGCCTCTTTGCTTTTTTCCCCTGTAACAAGCTAAGTCATCTTTCCTGATCTTTTATAGGTTTGAAGATCTGATGGAGAACCTTCCCTTGCCAGAATATACCAAACGAGATGGCAGGCTCAATCTGGCTTCTAGGCTACCCAGCTACTTTGTAAGGCCCGATCTGGGCCCCAAGATGTATAATGCCTACGGTATGAGGGAGAAGCGCAAATTGCCCTTTTTGGATGCTACCATTCCCCATTTCACCTATAGAGGGAGATATTTAGTCAGGGTCATTTGTAGAGATAATGGAGGGCAAAGTGACAGATGCTAGAGAAGTTAACAGTGTCCATGATGGCTTGGAGTTTTGTTTGTTTTGTTTTATTTTGTTTTAGAGGGGGAGGGGCACATGGAGAGGGAGAGAGAATCTTAAACAGGTTCCACGCCCAGCATGGAATCCTTTGCAGGGCTTGATTTCATGACCCTGAGATCATGACCTGAGCCGAAATCACGAGTCTGTTGCTTAACCGACTAAGCCATCCAGGCGACCCTTTGTTTTGTGTGTGTCTGTGTGTGTTTTAATTAATTAATTTGTTTATTTTTAAGAAGATTGATTTTAGAGAGAGTATAAGCAGGGGGAGGTGTAGGGGGAGAGGGAAGGAGAGAGAATCTCAAGCAGACTCCGTGCTGAGCATGGAACCCAACCCGGGCTGGATCTCACAACCCTGAGATTATGACCTGAGCTGAAACCAAGAGTTGGACACTTAACTGACTGTACCACCTAGGTGCCTCTGTTTGTTTTAAGATTTTATTTATTTGAGAGAGACAGAGACAGAGCATGATTGGCGGGGGAAGGAGGCAGAGGCAGAGGGAGAGGAAGAAGCAAACTCCCCGCTGAGCAGGGAACCCGACATGGCACTCAGTCCCAAGACCCTGGGATCATGACCTGAGCCGAAGGCAGATGCTTAACCAACTGAGCCCCCACCCAGGCGCCCCTTTATTTATTTATTTCTATTTATTTATTTATTTTTAAG